TAGGAATGTCATGCTTCTATATTGTGAACTCGATAGATGAGAGGAGTATAAAGATTGATGTTGTATGTTCTCAGCTCGACTCTCAGGAGACAGAAACATGTTTTCATGGAGGAAGATGCTCATCTGTATTCCACACCATGAATACAAGACCAGTGATTTATCTTACAGGCTGTCTACGGGTGTCAACCAGGACCTTTTGGAGATTGTACTTTTCATCTCGTATTACTGGTTCCAACGTGAATTTGTGTATGCATTTTATATATTTCTTTATTTTTACTTTCCTTGATATGAACCAGCTTTCACTGTCATTGGAATGCGCGTCAGCAATTGAACTGAACAGCAATGAATCAAAATGAAGTTCATTTCACTCCTAACCCGATGATTTATCTCTGTGCACAGTTAGCTTTGTTCCACCTTATTTTTTCTCTTTGATTAGACAATATGATATTTTTTCCAATTTCTTTAAAAAGAAAAGAAAAAATGTTCGTGACTGTGATGATTTTGATATCGTAAACTATTAAAGAAAAGGCGTGTTTTTTATTTCCACATTGCAACATATCGAAATTCTGACTATATAAATCGTGTAAGTGCACGTGACGCAAAGTATTTCAATACATCAGGCGCCAGACAATATTATTTTATTGGAATTGATTTGCTAATTAGGCACCATAATGTCCTCTCTCTGTCATCTTAAGTAAGCACTCGAAATTTTGCTTCTTTTCTCAGCATTTCTTGCAACCAAATATTGTAATGAAATTTGGCGGGGAGTTATGAAAACGATACGCCACGACCGGTGTAAATTGGATATTCAATGACAAGCAAATTATCTTGGTCTCATCACCTAAGTAAACGTGTGTGAACTGAGCGGTTAATGGAACCATGTCAAGCAGTCCGGAGTGGTTGGATATTGGTTAGAAGGTGAACAACCAAGCAGACCCCTTGAGGGGAATCATACTCCCAACACTTGGCATTTCATCTAGCCAATTTTGATTCGGTTTAACACCCTATCCGCTCCCTCGACCTGTGATGTGCTCTTTTCAGCTTCAAGCACTCGGGACGATTTAAATTGACGCTACAGATATTTTTTTTCTTTCGATTTGAAGAAGGGTGCATCTGCAATTACGAGTGACCATCATGTTAAGCCCGATGACATGTGAGATACCGTCCCGTCTCATCTCCAGGGTCTTATGACGACATACCTCCTCAAAATCTACCGATAATTAGATTAATCACAGTCTTTTAAAGGGATAAGCTTCTTTTTTATCCTGAAATTGACACAATTTGCTTAAATATCAGTCATTAGGCCAGATGTTTGCCCGCAGAGGCAAGCTGAAGTCACATCGAAACGTCCTCTGTGCTTATCTCTTTCTTCTAAATCATTGACAAGACGAGGCCCTTTATGCTTTGAGATTTATGCCCTGGAATTGTGCGATGTATTGTGGTAAATGCCTGTGGCTTGGCCTGCACACGTGCCGAGCTGCCATTTCCTCTTCCCAGATCTACTCCGTTTATACGTAAACATTGTGATCGAACTTGGCGCTCTTAAATAACCCCAATGTTTGACATTTACCGGCCAGTAATCTAAACTGTTTCGTCTGCTTTTCAACCCATCCACAGTCGACAGTAATAGAGCAGATGCTTTCAAATTTCTGTCGTTTCCTTTTTTACGTTTGGTCCATTATTCTGTCCAATCGAGCTTGAAATCAAAATGACCACACATAGTAGCAGCTGTGTTAGATCTTGATGCCACTTTCCGTACAAGATATGACGTATATATGGTTCTTTTTTATGTCATATCTTTTGGCAGCGGGTACTATTTCGTTGTATAGAAAAACCAGAGTTTTTACTTTTACGTGAAATCAATCAAATCGATGAGAATTTAGAAAGACTTAGCATAAATATTCATAAACAAGCATAGCCATGTCAGATTGGTTTATAAAACGGTATTGTGACAGATGAGGTTAAACGTAGAGCTATGTAAACAATAAACAAATTAATAGCTTCTGACACCCCAAAAACCAATTTACACCTGGGTAAAAAGTGGCATATGTGGAAACCTCAACACTTAGATTGAGAGACAAGCTAATGAACAACTATACCACCAAACTTCCACATTAAGAAGTCGATTATGAGAGATGTGATTTAACATCATTCTATGAATGTCAAGAAACTTAATTTGTTATACTAAATTCATTAATTGCCTCATTTTAAGCAAATTAACGAAGTCAATAGAGCATCGATTAATTCAAATTGTATTATGTTTTTTTCATATATATCAAACATTTCTTTTTGAATAAGTACTGTTAATATAATGTCAAGCAATTTGAGCCTTAATATTAATTTCCAGGTGCAAGCCAACTTATTCTATGTTAATGCTGTATTTGCGATTGATTTAGATGAATCAAAACTTTGGTTCCCGCGTTTGAAAATACATTAAACTTTATCCCGCCAAAATTCATGCCAGATTAATGTAAATTGATGCATGGTGTTTGTTTTGATCCATCGCCTTACCTGGCTTCCCAATCATTTCCCTGGCATCCCGTGTCTGATCTGCAATCACTGGGCTAACCTTCCAGTCAGGGGGCTCTTAAGAATCGGACAAGGTCTGAGGTGTAAATGACCTGGACATTTTGGCGGGAATGCCTATCGATGTGTCGTCTGTCAGAAGACACGTGGACTAAAGCGAGCAATAATCCCCAGCGACATTGATCGGTCGATGGCCTACAATCGACACCAATTTGCATCTAAAGAGGTTTCCAAGTGTCAATTTGCCAATTACGATTTTTTGTTCCCATCTAATTTTCCACGATGCACTAGGGAGAGAAAAACAAGAACAGCCGAGACCCGAACAGCCCGAGTCTGCGGTCTTTTTCTACTTTTGTTTGTTTTGATAACTGGATGGAAGCAAGTTTTGTTTTGCGCCAGATTTTGTAGTTTTGCTTTCCGCAACGGCTGTGATTATAGATCATTGCTTTTTAAGTTTTGATATTCAAATTTTCTTTTGAGTTGGGATGTGTTAAGAAACAATTACTCTATCATCTAATTATAAAACTGGTTTAGATGGCTATTTCAGAATAACTGTTTTAATAAATGTTTCTGGATAAACTGAAAAGTTTTTACTTTAATATGATTTTGTCTAAACTTTGTAAACTTTTGTTCTTTTCTTTCTATGTTTGGTATCATACTGTTTTATATGATTTTTATAGAAGCGCAATCTTTATTCGTCCGTACCGAAAATGACCGATGATCGCGTGTTTCTTGATGGTAAATCTACTAAATGAGAACAGCAATATGTAAAATGCAAAGATAACATCAACAAGAGCATTTTTTCATCCATTTCTTGAGTTTCCTATGTCGCAAGATCTTACTATAATTTTTTTACTTTGTTTATACAAACCTTCGTAGATACAAAGTTTGGTATGAGCCAGTGGAATGTGGCAAGTGTGTTGCTTAGAAAGATACTAAACGTAATGCAATCAAATGGGCTCGCTCCTTAAGCAGTGCGGAGTTCTCCGGGGACCGTTTGGGTTTAGGGACCTTAGTCGATGTCAGATCAATTTGTCTTTCCCGTAGACCTCAATTTAGCAAAGGAAACACCTCTCTAAACGTCGTTTTATCCATTCCAATTTATTTCCGTGTCAAATAAACGTGAGAAATGGGGAACGCGTCTGAGCCGGTGGGTTTACGTGTAAAGTGATCACATCAAATATCATTGAAACTGTCTTGTTTCCTTAGTTTACTTTTACTTTTAAATCAGGCAAGATTTGGCATTCACAGCTTAGTCGCATTCTGGTGTGTATGGTATACCACGGAATGTGAGTAATGGTACTTTATAAGTGGTGTGTTTTGGCATGATAACAACAATACTTATAATGATAATAATGGTGAAGGGGAAGTCAGGTAAAAGGGAGGAGAAGGATAATGGTCCTTCACCTTCATATCATTCTCCTTCATATACCCGAGTGTTAGTGTTCCTCATGTCTCGCAGTCGCAATTATGAATCGCTGTGTCTGCCACTTCTACTATTGGGTTCATTGACTCCTTAGTTGTTATGAAAAACAAATGATACTTTTGTTCTTTTCTATATTTCCTGTAAATATTATGCGACAATGAGTAAGCATTGACAGCTGCTAGTTAATAGTATAAACAAAAACTGCCCCTGGATAAAGCGTTAGGTGTTACCGAAATGTAATCAGGATCAATCATTTACATCACATTTCTTAACTGATACAAAATCAATCTATCCCTATTTATCCTGATCGTCATCATGTTTCATGCTTTATGCATGGTTTGGAGAAACATCTGTGCAGTTCATAATTATATTGTATACTTTGTTTTTCGGAAATGTAACCTAAAGATAGATGAATTTAATTGTTCAAACAACTTTTTGAACTGTAAAAGTTCGAATGCAAGAAATTAGATCTAATCGTATGTAAATGTCAGAAATAAAAACACCATAACATGTGGTAAATCTCATCAATCAATGTTGAAGAAGTAATTGTACATTGCAGAAGTCATAATATGTTCATCATCAATTTATGTGACGGATCTCTTGTCTCACACTCCAACATTTCTGACAATTTTGCAATGAACATTGAAACGATTACTTCTAAAGAGAAAAACAAACTTAGCTATTTTCACTAGCACGATTCAAAAGCCTATTTACACCCTACATCCATAAAAAGGTGTCGTATCATAGGAGTGAACTTGAAAGCAAGAACAAAACTTTTTCGTTACTTTTGTTAAAGTTGTAAAGACCTTAGTGTGAGATATCTTTAACGATGTGAATATTATGTTTTTAAAGTCATAATACACTTTACATCTATATCATAAGTGGTATTTTTGGTATTTCGTTTTGTTGGACAAGGGCGCCTGTTTCTGATTGAAGTATTACTGTATCTAATATTGTTCTATCAACACAGAACTGTACAGCGAATTCGTTTTGTCATGCATTCATGCAATTTTTCCTTTTCAATTCTTCTCCTACTTATCTTCTGCAGGCGATAGAGGTAACAGGTCAGATGATCTATGTCCCCGAGAGTGACTGCATCTTGTTCCTTGGCTCACCAAGGGTTGGTAAGCTGGAGGAGTTGACTGGACGAGGTCTTTACCTCGCTGATATCCCTATCCACGATGCTACCAGAGATCTGATCCTGGTAGGAGAGGAAAGCAGGGCTCAAGATGGTCTCAAGCAGAGGATGGACAAGCTCAAATCACAGGTGGAGGAAGCGAGTGGTAACCTCGACTCAGAGAGACAGAAGAACGTCGATCTTCTCAATCTTATCTTCCCCGAGGCTGTGGCCAAGAAACTTTGGAGGGGTGAACCCGTACCGGCTCAGACTGTCGAAGGTGTGTCCATGTTGTTCTCTGATATCGTGGGCTTCACTGCTATCTGCTCAACCGCTACACCCTTCATGGTGGTGAACATGCTCAATTCTCTCTACACTGAGTTTGATTCTTTCTGCGGAATCCTTGATGTCTATAAGGTGAGTTATCAATGTTCCCCAATAGGTCGTCAATTTCTCTATGGTGCGATTCTCTACGCAAAATGTTAAACATTGTCAGTATTCTCTTTCTTTCTCTTACTCTATATATTATACATGTATACTCCCTCTCTTCTCTTTTTTCTGTTAATTCTTCTTCTTCTTCTATTTCTTTCCCTTCTTCAAACCCTTCTCCTACTTCTTCTTTTTAGCTTACTTCTTCATCTCTTCTCTTTGACTTGTTCTTCCTTTCCTTTACGAATGTCTCCGTCAAAATGTAGGGGTTGAACCGTTAGGGAACCTCCAATGCCCATATCATTCGACTCCTACAAACGTTCTATTCGAGTCGGTTTTACGTAGTTCAACATTTCTGAGATTCTTTGTTTTGACATTATAATAGTGACATTAAAGCACCCCGCCTCTTATATGGAGCTGAGGTGACTAAATTTCCTTCGTATAACTGACGATACTTATGCTACTCCTCACACTTCCCCCACCGCTATTAACAGCACCTTGAGTTCTAGTGTTGTCATTGAATCTACATCTCTGGTAGTATTTCCACTACGTTTCTCCGTCGTACTATCAGGGGAAAATATTTGGTAACATAATCTGCGACGCGTTATGTTTATCCCATTGTCTAACAATTTAGTTAAGTCATTGTATCGGTTACATGTGGGTGAGTCATTGGGAAATCGAGTGGGAGCACTTACGAGAGATTAAACCAATTTATTCTTGACACGTATTACGCGAAGAGCTTCGCTGTAATCAATACCCCTCACGCAATTGAACGCACTTTATACATCTAATGTTACACCTACCTATTTTGATTCCATTTTCGAACATGGTCAAATCATCTATGATGGCATAGATCAGGATTAGAAGGCTTCGATCGGGATCGAAACATCAATTACAATTCAACATGTTTTGCTGAGAGTCTGTAATGCGTTGCATCTGTCGTGGTAAACTAGTACAGGGGACGTGTGAAGGCTCGTTTAGATACGACGCGCAAAACCGCGGCGGTCAAATTTTCATTCATGACGTAAAGTGTAAACGTTTCAATTTTCTGTATCTTATATCATAAATATGCATAGAGCACAGTTAATTCGCGCAAGTAATTTGTTGCGCGCAGTTTCTATTCATTGACACGTCAAAAAACAACCGCGGCGGCTTTTGGGATGGGTTTACCGCGCCGTATCCGAACAAGCCTTGAGTGTGATATTAGGTCAAATTAACCCTCCTAAAACACTGCAAATAGACGTGTTACTTATTACCTACCAGATGGTCGCACTAGGTTAGTATTGTCTATAAAAGTTAAGAAACCTACGAAACCTACCTAATTAGATATAAATAAATGATCAATGGTCTGTGTTTGTGTAGCTGTGCTGGACTTTTTTTTGGGGGGGTGGTGGTGATTCTAAAGAAAAAACTCTCTTGATATGCTTTATTCTGATTTGATGTGGTGTGATGTGGTGTTTGCAGTTAACTTCTTTTCCATATCATTATATGCGATCTCATAATTACTGTGCTACTCAGTAGGCCGGATACAACAACCAAATATTTATCTAGTTCTAGCTTTGGGTCGCACAGATAAAGCAATAGTTCTTTTTTGTACACCCCCCCCCCCCCCAATTTCCCTCTTTGTGGCTCGATGTTTCTCACTTTTCTGTAAGCCTTTCCCTCCTGCTCACTTTATCCGTGTTCTCTGTTTTCTTCTTCCCTCACCATCTTCTCATCCCTCAGCACCCGTCTTCTTTTACTTGTTATTTTCTTTACATATTTTATTTTCTTTGTGGTCTCCGTCTCTCTGTTGCTATCCGTCTCGTTTGCAGTATTCATGAAGAATTATTCAGAAATACGGGAAAATCCTCAAACTGAATGCCTTAAGGAAGAGTTTCATTAAGTTTGGTTAAAATTTATGTTACAAAGAATATATAATAGTAAATTCCACTTCATTATATCAATTTAAAATCCAATCCCTACCTTTCTAAATATTTAAAATAAATCCACTCTCTGAATCGTTTCCTCCATTCATTCTTGTAAACTTATATTATGACAAGATGTTGTAACAGGTGTCATTCAATAGATCTCCTTTTGCTCGGATTGAATTACTTTTTTTTCTTAGATGGATATGTGTGATATATACATGATAGTAAAGGATATCAATAGAAATGCGATGCCAATCCAAAAGACATAGCTGTATACAAGGTGTTATAGGATTGAACACTACTTCCTAAGTGATGGATTGATGACTGACAATTCGTGAATAGTCTGTCAAAAGGTGTCCTTTTACATTATGTGATATTGTATAATAAATGAAATCAGTTTAATACGTTATAAGATGTAAGCCTTTAAACCTTCATTTCGATTAAATATTCAACATAATGCACAGATATTGGGCTTTCTATTGAGGACAGCAATCCCGAGGGCCACACAATAATGAAGGAAGTAATAAAGAAGAAATACAAATTAGACTACAGAATAATACATGTTGTGTTAAATTACATGACTACTGTATCCTGTCCTGTCATTTTTGTTTGTATACAACAGATAAGCGAAATGATTATAGTATGAACTAAAAGCAACCTTAAAAACCAATTATTTTATTTTTTGATGATGATGAGTATAATCTTTAATTGAGTTGAGTCATTCAAGAAACCAATTTCCAGATAACTAAAAATGAATCAGTGTCCTTCTCAAAGTAAAACAATAATAGTATTATAGTTTTCATCATACTATGTATCTAAAATGAATATGTTTTCTTTAATATCATATGAGCTAATCTGTAACGGAAAATAAAAATGTTCGAATTGGTAATGAACTACCAATTTTAGTTCATAAATACTTAAGTTTTGGCTCAAAAGCAACTCAACACCTAACATAAGCGACAATTGTCCAGAATTCTTTTTTTCTTCATTTTATTCATATATCTCTTTTAATTTACAAACATATTCATGAAATGAGTAGCAATTGATGATATATTATTGATTGGTTGGGTTAAGATGTTCCAAATATACACAGTTTCGACGACAAGACCATATACTTCAGACATGTAAAAGGAGTGAATCTGATGCGGTTATTATTTGTCTAAAGTATACTGAATAATCATGTGAAGAGAGAGAGCAATGAACCAAAAATACCGGCAGGTGCAATTTTCCCCTTTGAATAGAAGAGGAACAATATTGTTGTATAAATAAATGAAGATAACTTACGAGTGTATAAGCAGGAAATACATTTTGTAATGGATTTCCATGTAAGTGTCTTCATATGGATTTACTTTGGAGATTTTTGAAACAGCTTTAGTACAACAATATCCCACTTCTCCCTCCTCTTTAGAAGATCCCTTAAAACGTATACTTCGTTCCCCAGTAATCTAATGCGATATACTTATTTCTCTTAGTGTTTGTGTTTCTTTTCAAATCTGTGTGGGGTTTTAGGCGCTATCATGATTCTCTTTATGGCTCTTATGTCGTGGAGCATTTTGACGAATGCTTTAATAATAATCAAAAATAATAATAATATTTGGCTCTTCTATAGCGCATATCACATTACTAACGTCTCTATGCGCTTCCAAAGAGTTTAGCAAATTATTACCCTAGCTTTAGCTCCGGCAACCGTAATCAGCGCACAATGCATTTCAAGGAAATAGAGAAATATTGCTCAACATAATTGCCAGAATGATTTATATTTAGATTACGATTGAGCTATTATGTTTTAATTGAGTGACAAATCAAGAAAATATAAATTCCCTTAGAAATGTGATGATTTTTTCTTTTTCTGACATGGTAGTAAAGAAGTAGAATTAGAGCTAATTAGTTGATTGTGTCATCAGCTGCTCTGTACCTAGGCACAATGCATCGTACAGCTTGACGTTACGAACCATGGCGACAGTTTGCTTGTCCTTCCGGCGTGTCAGTTCTCCCATGTTATACTAACTGACATGTTTAGTTTAAACTACATACTAACACGATGTAACTTAATCGTGTTACGTTGTTGACGCAGATACACTACAACAAGGAACAGTCTGCAATCTGATAAGTTCATCAAAATACCTCCCAACCGAATTAAACAAATAAAATGGCCAAGTTAGCCTTTACTGCCAATTTATGGTCCGACAATGAGTATGAAAAGAAATCTGTATTTAAGGTTAGATATTCATTTCGGTTTATTAAGATAAAATTCCATGTTAAAACAGTCGAGAGACTGATCAATACAAACAAAGATTACAAAGTTCAAAGATATGTATAAATGATTGACATCACCATAATTTCTGAGGTTCTGTTTAAATGTAAAACAAAACCATGGGGTTTCTGAAGGCCTGTGAATCGGAAACACGTCTCAAATTGGCCTGAAATATAAAAAAAAAACAGCAATGTGCAAAATTTCGTCCGATTTGCAGCCGATTGGTCATTTTATCTCAAAGAAATGCGCTGGAGGGGTTAAATTTCCCGCTATTTTTCTAGCTTGAATATTATATGAGAAGTCTCGAGTCGGCAGATGGGGCATTACTCTAATTCTAATACATCATCATCCGCCTACGATGCTATTTTTCTCTTAGTTATGGTAGTTAGATCATGCAGAATGCCAAAGGCTTTCGACTGCACGTCAATTGATTAAATGACAAGAGCTAGGTGCCGAATGTCTATATAGTTTTATTTAAGCATAGCAAGTGAGAAATTCAATACTTAATTCGACACATTCTCTCTCAGCCTACCTCCTATTATCCTAAACAAAATCCGATTATTGATTTATTCATACTCGACCCTACATCACATTCTACCGCCTATTATGAATACATGTATCTTCCTAAGTTTAACCTTTCAAAGTTATTAAAGGTACAGTTCTAACAGATCTCCCAGCATGTTTTCGTTATTGATATTTCGGGAGAGGTAGGCTTTTTATAACGTTATCTATACTCTGATAGAAATAGGTCATCCTGCATGGGATTCAATTTTGAAGCAAATATGTTTGTATTTTCAGTTGCCGTCCTCCTGCCCTATCTTCTA